TGCATCTGACAAGCTTCCACCTCCACAACATCTCTTTCAAGAGTTTCTAGGCAAGAATGGCAGCACCTGGGATTACTGGGACACAAATACACTGTGTCAAGGATCATAATACTCCAGCACAACTACTGAGCAGAGCTTCTTGTCCAAAAGGTGGCTTTTGGCACACTACACGAAGCTGTCTGCCGAGTCAGGAAATCAAACAGMAGAGAAATAGCCCTGGAAGATGCCCTCAGAAAAGCAATAAAGCAGCAGAACTACTGTGACTGATACTGACATTTTAATCAAGGTATTACCAATCCCAACCCTCCAGTCAGTTCCAGGCGTGACTAGAGATACTCTCAGCACCCTATCTTTGTGATCTGAAAGAARTGATGCTATCAGAAATTACTAACACTGAGCATGAGAAATCCCTTTCCTTAGGTTTTATCATGAGATAACATCACTGCTCTAAAGTGCTGATGATTTAAGACGATGCATCTCCTGTAGACAGAGTAAAGCTGTGAGCCGTTATTTTGGAAAAACCAGAAGCATGAATTACCAAGCAATATTTGTTCTATTTGTTGTAGTGTTTGGATGGAATATGACAGTGTTCCAAGAATTGCCAGTTCCTAGGAGTCTGTTCTGGCCAATATGAGCATTGCACCTCCCTTTATTTTGTTATGGCCTTGCCTAAGACTCAAGATACTGTTCAAAATCAAGAAATACAAATGTTATATTCATAATGTATCAGTCTGAGTACCCTAATATGAAAAACCAGGGATAGCATCTACAAAATGGGAATAGTCAAAGATTGAAGATTCAAACACTACTTAACTCAAAACATCACTGCTGTGCAGCCAGCCTAAGATTGACTCTAGACATAAGGAGAATGAGAGTACAGGAGAAGCAAAGCTTCAGAGAAATCAGTTCAAGCAGATTAAAGGGATTTTTATAGAATTAGAGCATTTGAAATAATGCTTAATTTGATAATTTTAATTCTGTAGCCCAGATAAAATGCTCTAATAAATTCTATTTTGTAGATTTAAAATTATTAACAAAATATTTYCTTCTTACAACAGAGTACTGTTTGTTAATTGCAAATCAAAGCTAATGATGTGAAGGACAGAATGATATGTTCCTTAGTTTGCTTCTTTTTTTTCTGTCTCACCCACAAGAAAATCCACATATATGACCAATATGCTTCTGAAAAATCTATATGTGTGATGGTGTTCTCTTTGATAACATGRGGCACTATATCTTTTGATATTTGCATTTTGCTGACCCAGAAATAGATGAGGACAGAAGAGGGCACAACAAAACAGGATTATATTGTGATTTTTTAATTTCTTTCTCAGCAAACTAAAATGGCATATTGAACAGAGTGGGTTTGAAATTTGTGGGTTTGAATCACACAGAGTTGAGTAGAAATGTGTATTTTTACCATTTTGAAGCATAATGGATGCATGACCACTGAAATATTCACTACTGCTGGCAAAAGTCTTACCAAACAAAGTTGGTCAGCCTCTGAAACAGAAAAAGACAGAAAAGAACCACAGGAGATTGTACCAGGAGATGGTTAGGCTGATTTGTACTCTGGTTTGAATGTCTTTCCATAGTATCATCCTGAAAAGCTTAAAATTCAAGGATACAGTGTGACTACCATTAACATTCCAAGTGTAGTAAATGAAAGTTCCACAAAGTAAACAGTGATATTTAAAAGTAAGAACTACATACATTGGAAGGCCAAATGTTAAATTTTCTAACCCCAGGAAAGCCATCTCTTAGTTWAGAATTCACCATGTGTTATAAAGGCCGGTTTTAGTTCTGTTTTCTCTAACAAAAGTTCAGCTACAGCAAATAATCCATATTGGACAAAATATCAAAATMCTTTTGAAGTTTGAAAGATTTTTATTCTTGCATTCTAGATTAACATTATAAAATAGTCCTTGTTTCATAACAAGGGTCTAATCTTACCAGCCTGTTAATCCTAAATCTCACTTTGTCCAAACAACAGAGCTGTTGTTTCTAAAACCACAACATAGCTTACTCCTTGATTTGAATAACCAGTAATGTTGAAATTGTTATTAGTTTTTTGTAAAAAATTGTGTCATCTTCTATGAAAATATACCATTTTGATGAGTGACTTTTAAATTTAAGTGGATGACAGAAAGCAAACATGTATTCCAGCAAGGGGTAATGGTGCTGTTCAGAGTAGCATTTTCCAGTTACAGCCATTCTCACCATCCAGAACAAAGTGAACCTTGAATCCAGTAAGTTTGGTAAGTAAGATTTGGTCACTGAGTGCAAAGAATTCAAGACAACTGAAACAGCTACTGGGAATCTCYTAATCTGGAAATTAATTAGAGATGACCCTTCTTTCATACCACTACAAAAGTTAATGTTGTTAATTTAGGGAACTGGCAATAAACATTCAACTAACACTCACAGTGAGTTCATGAAATCTTTGGTGATATAAGTATACCTAGCATTTACAGTCATTGCCAAGTTTATCCTATTGTAGTGAGGCCAAGAGTCCAAAGTGGTGGTTTACATTTTTAATTATTCATTACTTTCAGTTGCTGTCCTGAGATTCAGAGCTGACCACCATACAAAAATTCACTGGTATGTTTCAAACTTGYTCTTATTCTTATTTTGATATTCTTAGCTACTTAAAACCAGAACAAATTCACTGAAGTGTGTATCTATGCTGTGCATGAATGTGTCTTAACAGAGTACTTCATCTGGACCAACTTCTATGTATCATATAGAGCAACAAGGGTCAAAATCAGAAATCATTTTAGTCCATAAGTGGAGTAAAAATAGAGCAAAGTTATATTCTTATAATTTTTCAGAGCCCATTAACTCCAATAAAGAAGGTTTTTATGAACCAAATTTAATTCCAGGTCCCTTTCTCACACTCTCCACAATGCCTGTTTTGTTGCATCTATAGTGCATCTTCTGAATAATAATACAAAAMCCCCACAGCATGCTTCAGTCTTTAAATTTCAATGTACAATTCATTTCACTTGCACTTAGTTGCACCTTGTGGAGACATACAGCAATTCAAATACTCTGAGTTGAAACAGTGGCCTGTTTTGCTCTTAGCACTTGCTAAACTTTATTTCTCAAGTATAATTTACCACACAACTACACTTTTTGTCCATAGTTAAAATTATACAACATAACGTTGACTCACAGAAAATAACAGGAGTTCCACTATTGTATAACTTATAAAAAAATACAGGGACATTTACAAGTAAAAATAAAAAATACATAATGTAAAATAATAAACATCAGCCAAAAAAAAAAAATTAAAAAAAAAACCACCCACTGTTTTCCCTATAAAGAGAAAAAACAAAAAAAAAAAAAACCCAAAAAAAACCACTCACTGTTCACTCACTCTTTTCCCTATAAAGAGAGAATCCAAACACACAGGGTTTACCTAGACAGGTGAATACCCAAATGACTGGGAAGACTGTTCACATTGCACTCCTCACCTGGAACAAGATTATCATAGCTAAATAGCCACCTAATACTTGAACAAAAGAGACACTGATAATCCCCTTTCCCCCAAGGTTACTCCACTCCTCCCATGAAGCTACCAGTCATCTTCTTCACTCRTTTGACCATTCCCCACAGGTTTGCTGGTCCTACATTCCTAAGACATGCCATGTCCTGGAGTTCCTATCTTTTCTGAAACTGTTCCTCCTCACTTTGCTGGGTAAGGTGGGGATGTCTTTGYGCTGCAAGGTAGAGAAGCACTTTAAAGTAGAGTTCACAGGTTTTAAGGAAGCAGGAAGAAGCAGGAATGACGTTCTGAAAGTTCAGGACTCTGATGTGCATGGCTTATTCTCCCTCAAACTCCAAATGCAAACCCAGATCTGTTGTGAAAAAGACAAAATCCTGTAGATTTATCTTGCTGTCTCACCCGAACACACCCAGGGCTATAGAGCAAGTCTTGAGTGTTCTCCATTTACTCTTGAGTTTTATATCTATCTGGCTTCAAAAATGTAGGTGGGGGCACACTTCGGAGACAGATCCTTTGAGAGAGGAAAAATGTCCGTCTGTGGGCTGTTTTTTAAGAAACCTTTCTATAAAACAGTCTGTCTATACCATTCATCCTGATGTTAATAGCGAAAGTCCAAAACAAACTTCTGCAGGGAAATGAGCTCTGCTCTTGCCACCCCTCATCAGATCTGGTCCTTTGTCGACTTCTTGCACGACAGGGACCCAGGTTTTAGGTCTTTTCAGCCCTGCAAAGATATAACCAGCGACGCACTAGCTGAGAGGACAGGCATTCCCTGAAGGAGGGAGTAACACTTAGAGCTGCAGCTCCACCTTTAGATGGAAATCGGCATTGGAAGCACCACACTGGAAAAGCACCCGTAGTAGCTGGACAGCTTGAATCCACTCTCATCGAAGGTAGGATATCTCAGCGGCAATGGGGTGCACGACGCTGGACAATCCCTCAAGATCCCAGTGTCAGCTGCTGGCATGGCTACCTGGGTGCCCCCGGACCCGGCCGGCCCGTCATGCACTCCTGCAGTTCTCCAGTAACACCGTTTTCCAGTCTCAGAAGATACACGGTGTAATGTCGAGAGACACCTCTCTTGCTGTCCTAGACCCTCTCCTATTTCCTGGTCCACATTTCAGTGACTCGGATGTTTACATCACCCAGAAAACCGGTCAGCCTTGCCTCAGGTGTCCCTGCCTCGGAGAGCTGTGTCTGTCCATGCTGCCAGCACTCCCTGCCGAAGCAGTCCAGAGGCTCCAGCGGGGATCTGCTGCCCTGCAGGACACATGGCCAGGCCAGGAGGCTCCTTCCCAGCACCTTCCYTTCTGAGGGACTCTGCAGATGCTCACAGCATTGGCACACCTGACAGACTCCAGAGGAATGGAGTCTAGAGGAGGACTTTCAGGTGGAAATGGTGAATATGAAGGAAGGATTTCCCAGGGTGGTGTACTCAGTTCTGTGGGAAAGAAGGGAGCTGGAGGGGATAAGTGGCAGGAGTGGGGGGATCTCAGCGAGTGGTGGTGATGCCCAGCAGGTGAGCAGGGACGCGGGCGGCCAGCAGGCAGGCCAGCACGATGCCRACGAGCTGCAGCAGTGCCAGCCCCAGGGCAGCGGTGGCAAGGTAATACAAGTTGGTGCCGACGAAGGCGGACACGCTGCCGAAGCAGCCGTCGCGGTGCAGCCGGCGCGGGTCGGGCGGGCGGCGCTGGCAGTCGCGGCGGGTCCGGCAGCAGCTCAGGGGCACCGAGCCGTTCTGCTCCAGCCCCCAGGGCGAGGCCAGCCAGTCGCGGTAGCTCTCCACACCGCAGCACGACAAGGCCCGCTGCAGCGCGTCCAGGGAGTCCGCCACCCCGTCGTCCTCCCCGTATGCCAGCAGCGCTTGGTGCAGCCCCTCCTGGAAGCCCTGCGCCAGGGTCCGGCGGTACAGGAGCGCCGAGAGCCCGGCCGCCAGCCCGGCCGCCAGCACGGCCCCCAGGAAGGCGCTGTAGGCGCGCAGGAGCCCCCGGTGCTCCGTGGCGGCGCCGAAGCATCCCAGGAAGCCCCAGATGATGACAGCGAGGCCGGTGGCCAAGAGGATGGCGGGGGCGCTGGGGTAGTCRCTGGCCGACAACGCCAAGTAACTACCCAGAGACACCTTGGCCCAGAGGCCGATGATGAGCATGGTCAGCCCCGCTGCCCAGAATATGAAGCTGAAGGCCATGAGGGACAGCTTGAGCAGGGTCATGATGCCCTCGTGTCCTGGTGTCGTGGGTGGCTGT